GTACCAGGCTGCCACTCTACATGGAGCTCAGAGCACTGAGTGAGCTGGCTGACGCGGTACAGTTAACAGAGGTCCTGGCACTTGGCATGTGCATTTCAGTGAAGAAGGAAGAAAGAAAGGAAATGACAAAACAAGTGGAGGAGGGCTAGCTGCATTAGGACAGGGAGGGTTCTACTTGAACACTTAACTGTTTTGCTTGAAAGGCAGCGAGGGAGGGAGGGAAGGAGCAAGAGCTCTTCCATCCACTACTCCATTCCACTGATGCCCGCAGCGGCCAGGGCAGGGCCAGGCTGAAGCCAGGAGCCGGGAGTTCCATCCTGGTCTACCATGTTGGGTGCAGGGACCCAAGCACTTCGGCCATCATCCACTGCCATGAGGGTATTAGTAGGAAGCTGGGTTGGAACCCAAGTGGGACTGGATCCCAGGTACTCTTACATGGAGTACAGCAGCCTAACCACTGTGGCACAATGCTCACCCCAGGTGTTTTTAATTTTGTTCACTGCTGTGTCTCCATACCTACAGAGAGCACCTGGCACACAGGCACCCTCAGCAAATACCAGTGGGAGGGACCAGGGCAAAAGAGAATGGAGAGGACTGGCTAGCTTATCATAGGAGTCTCCCACAGGTGGCTTGAGGGGCCCAACGTGAGGTCTGTAGCTGGCACATTTCACATGTTCTGCATTCCGTGTTCACACCTGTACATGACCTCACTCCATGTTTACATGCTCACATATGATGCCTCATTCCATGTTTACATTCATAAATGATCTCTATGTTCACACCTGTACGTGACCTCAGTCCATGTTTACATGCTCATATGTGATGTCTTGTTCCATGTTTACACTCATCAATGATCTCCATGTTTACATGTTCCTGTATGATATCTCATTCTATGTTTACACACTCTACATGATTTCACTCGATGTTGGGAACATGACCCATGGCTGCCTCCCTGGGTCGGGAAAGCTCATGGATTAGGTGGGAGACAGCTGGGCAAGCTTGGATGGGAGGGGCTGGGGTCAGGCCTGTGGGATTGGAAGGAATTTAGTCCTGGATGTCCATGTGTAAGGCTCTGGCTCCTGCAGAGGCATGGGTGCTCCGGGCACTGTCACTCCTGTTTTTTGGTTTCTCCAGCCTGGCTTCCACCTTCTGTGCCCCCAGGCCGCTTGGCAGGTGGTTCTCAGCTCTGGGGTCCCTCTGTGACCCCGGGCTGCTTGACGGGGTTCTCAGCTCTGGGGTATCTCTGTGCACATGTAGCCCAGTCCTAAAACACGTGGGCTTAGAGGAAGTGATCAGAGCCAGCTTCAAGACGTGGATGCCTAATGAGAGGGTATGAGTCGGGCGTCACAGCCATGTGTGACACCCTCTCTCCCTCGTCCCTTCCCTGACTCCAACGTTTACAAACATAGCCTCCCAAAGAGTTTAGCTAAACTCCCTACACACACATGCCATCCTTGTTGTCTGGGGGTCCTCTCCATTTGTGCCCCGCCTTCTCTGATTATTGTTCCTTGTTGCTGTTCTTGAGTTTATGTATAAGAAAAGAAAACAACAGAAAGAGAAAGATGCAGGAGGGGGGAGAGAGAGAGGGAGAGAGAGAGAGATCATCCATCTACTGGTTCACTCTCCAAATGTTCCCAACAGCCAGGGCTGGGCCAGGCCAACACCCAGAACCAGGAGCCCCACCGTGGTCTCCCACATGCGTGGCAGGGGTTTTGCCTTCTTCTGGACCTTCAGAACACGGCTGTCTTGGACTTGTGTCTCCCGGTGTAGCAGCTCCTTAGGTAGACCCCAGCAAGAGCCCCCCCACTTCAGCGTGTGGCCACGGACCCGCAGCATGCAGGCCAAAAACAGCAGCACCCCATGGACTTTGCTCCTCCTCAGGCAGCTACGCCTGCAAGTTAGTGCAGTCGCTTCTGTGTATGAAATTAGAATAGACTTAGATTTCAGGAAGCACTTCGGCACCTGCCTCTCTAAGACGTCACTTCCCTGATCAACACAGCACAGCCACAGCTCCAGAGGGGTGTGGAGCCTCAGTTCCAGAACATTCTTCCTTTTCCTGGACCAAAATACATTTTCCTGAAGCCTCCACCTGTCCATGGCATTTTTAACTTTAGGATGAAACTGCAGTCGTAATTCCTCCCTGAAAACCACTTCTCTCCTCTCTCAAGCTGTCTTGTCTGCAATGGAGGCGGCACCCCCAGCCTCCATCATGCCCTCCCAGCACGACCCCGAAAGCCACGATGCTGTCCATGGATGACCTGGGATCTCATGGAGCATGGACCTGGACCCCTCATGGAGCATGGATCCGGAACCCGAGGCAGGAGCTCCAGGCAGTCTGCAGGCCCCGTGCTCACAGGGTGAGCACCAGATGGCTTGCCTTTCATTACGTTGAGAGCAAGCACCTTTTGCTGTGGCTAGAGATGAAACGAGGACCTGTGTTTGCAAACTGAAGTTGCCTTAAAGAGCTCCTGGGAACAGAATGAGCCCATTCTGGTGCAAGTATTTTTGAAATCCATGCTTAGCTTCTTCCTCAAAGACCCCACGTATGGCCCCGACAGCCAGCTGTTCTGGCTGGGACTGGTGGTGCTGTGGTACTTTGATCTGGTGGCCTTGAGCCAATCACTCTCTTTCTGGGCCTCTGAGTTCCTTCTTCTAAGTGGACACTGGACACGCAGACCACCGTGAGGGTGAGGTCATGTGTGCAAGCCACTCAACCCTGAAAACCAACTCAACGAATGCTCCACAAATGGCAGTATTCTATATTTTACAGTGAAGTTAGGCTGTGATCTCAGGGAACTGTGGTCATTTCTTTTATGTTCTAATGATTTCTGGCAGCCATTTATTAGCATAAAATTGCCAGTAACTGACTGGGTAAAAATACCGTGGTAAAAGATAGTTATAGGACTTCAGATTTCTCTGTGCACAAGTTAATAATGCACCTGTGAAGGGCACCTTCAAAACAGCTTTACCGAGAAATATAAAAGAAGAGTTTTGGAATATCACTTTAGATAAAGTTTGAATAAAGATATCAGTGAATATATTGTTTTTGTGTGCTACGCATCATTGGGTGTTTATTTTTACTTCAATGCAACTATTAATTACTATGCAGTTACTTAAAACAAGTTAACAATAAGGTTATGAAGGTCAAGTTGAGAAATCAGTAAGATTGACAGTTCCGAGGCTCCATCACCCCGGCTGCCGTGGTGTTCACAGGAAGGCTATCCCCGCCCACAGAACACCCCGTTTCAGTCCCTGCTGCTCCATGTTCCCCATCCAGCTCCCTGCTAATGCTCCAGGGAGGTAGCAGATGATGGCTCAAATCCTTGAACCCCCGCCACCCATCTGAAAGGCCTGGATGGAGTTCCTGGCTCCTGTATCCAGCCTGGCAGAGCCCTGGCTGCTGTGGGCATTTGGGGAGTGAGCCAGCAGAGGGAAGATCTTATCTATCCCCCTCTTTCTCTGTCACTTTACCTTTCAAATAAATGTTTTTAAAAAAATATTTTAAAAATGACTAAAAGGGTTTTGGAGAGAAAATTCAGGTTTCTTGTGCCTATTCCAGAAGAGCACAGATTGGGTCTTCAAAATTTAAGTTTTCCCGGTGATATGAATTATTTAGTTTACCTAGGTGTACACAGTTGTCAAACAGCCACCCCTGTGAAGTGTGGCGGCAGAAGCTACTCAGTGAAGAGTAACTTCTACATGTTTGGTCGTCAGAACTGTTCCATCACTAACTGCCTACTTCTTTCATTTTGGAGGAACACTCTTGTCTGATTCAATTTCCAGTTCAGCATTGCCGGGGCCTGTCCTAAGTTCAGTGTTTCCAATCCTATTTCCAGCAGAGCATGGGAGCTGCCACTGTCCCTGGTGGGCAGATTCAAGTCTCGGAAGGCTGACCTCATTGTTCATGCACCTGATTGGCAGCTCACAGGAGAGTGTCTGGGGAGCAGGGGTCTCAAGGGCAGGTCCCCAGGCGCCCCATGGTTATTGAAGGGAGGCAGCTGCTTCAACCAAACCCAGCACCAGCAGGAGATGGCAAACTGCAGATCTGATGATGGAAGCCTAGTGCAAGTTAGGTTGGAGGAGAGTAACCCGGAGCCTGGGGCAGGGGCAACGCAGGGCTCTGTGCACTGGCAGGGGGAAAGGGGGTTTCCAGGGAGAAGGAGGAGCTTGCTTCAGCCTGTAGTGCACGTGCTGGGTGCTGCGTCCCACAGCCCAGATCTCCAGGTCTGGTTGTTGTGGCTGCGGACATCAGGCTGGGAAATGAGCCCTAGCTATGGGGGCACAGCTCGCCTTTGCTCGTCGGTGTGGAAACTGTCACTAATTCTGCCCCAAGAGGCAAGCGTGTGCCATACTAGTAACAACAGTGACCAAGACAGAGTTCTCAAGAAGTCAGCGGCTGCTTCGTCCATGTAAGACTGCATGGAAGAACAGCAACTGTCTTAATTCTGTTTATTTTAATACAATTTCAAAGAAAGCTGCAAAACAGGAGCTTAGCTGCATCTCACTGCGTGGCACTGATGCCGACCCAGCCTCCTGGGAGCCGAGTTCTGTGCTTCCCTCATCCCGATGAGATTTGAGGTAATGTCAGCCCTGGGAGGTAACCCCAGCAAAATCACAAGTGGCAAGAGGCAGGGGCTTCTGTGTTAGGAAGGGTGAGCCGGGAGTCGGGGTTCAGCAGGGTGGCAGCTCCCTGGGCCTGTGTGAGCTCTGGGAAGAGCCACACCAACCCCATCTTGATACTAATTCTATCTACTTAATTAAATCAAAACGGCACTTACACAGTCTCCCTCTGTGGTCTTAGTTATGTTCAGCTGTATCTTGTTAAAGAGACATGGAATTATAGGTTCATGCCTCTGGAAAGCTGTACCCAGAGACATCAACTATTAGAAATCCTGTCTGGAGTTCCAAGCTTGAATATTATCAGCATCTTTTGTGTTCTGTGCGTCTTTTCTGTGTTCTGTGCCTCTCCCCAATTTCTCTGTCCCCTGTAGTCAATGGCCATGCCCCCGAACAAGTCCGCTGTCACTGAGTTTCAGCTCCTAGGGTTCCAGAACATTGTTGAGTGGCAGACTCTGCTCTTTGCCATTTTCCTGGCTGTCTACACTCTCACCATTGCAGGCAATGTTGTTGTCATCGCTGTGGTGAGCCAGCAGCAGCTGCTGCACTCTCCGATGTACTCTTTCCTTAAACACCTCTCCTGTCTGGAGATCTGCTACACGTCCACCATCGTGCCCCTTCTCCTCGCCAGCCTGCTCTCGGGGGGCCGGGCCATCTCCTTCTCTGCCTGCATGGCACAGCTCTACTTCTTCGTGTTCTTTGGGGCTACCGAGTGCTTCCTCCTGGCCATGATGGCCTGCGACCGCTATCTGGCCATCTGCCGCCCACTCCACTACCCCGTCCTCATGAGCCCCGAGACCTGCACCAAGCTAACGGCTGCCTCCTGGCTGATGGGCGCTGGCACGGGCTTTCTGCCTTCCCTGATGATCTCCACGTTGGACTTCTGTGGCCCCAACCAGATCAACCACTTCTTCTGCGACCTCCACCCACTGATGCAGCTGTCGTGCTCCAGTGTCCATGTCCCCGAGCTGGCCATCTTCGTCCTGTCCATCGCCGTCCTCTGCATCTGCTTCTTCCTGACCCTCATGTCCTACGTGCTCATCGTGTCCTCCATCCTGAGGATCCCTTCAGCCTCTGGCCGGATGAAGAGCTTCTCCACCTGCGGCTCCCACCTGGCTGTTGTCACCATCTACTACGGCACTATGATCTCCATGTATGTGCGCCCCCGTGCCCAGCTGTCACCGGAAATCAGCAAGATCGCTTCTGTCTTCTACACTGTGGTCACCCCACTGCTGAACCCTGTTATCTACAGCTTGAGGAACAAAGACTTCAAAGAGGCTGTTAGAAAAGTTGTGAGGAGGAAGTGTGGTATATACAGAGTTGGAGTGAGAGGAAGCTCCGTTGTTTGATAAGGAAAGCTGCGGAGGACACTTGGTGGACTGAGTGAGGCCTGGGGTGGTGGCTACAGAAGCTCTGCTGATGTCCCTGTGAGCCCAGGATGGACCCCACAGGTCAGAGCGGAGCAGCTGCTGGCGGGGGTCTCTGGCCAACAACCGATCAAAGGTGAATGGTCTCTGTTAAACCATGCTGGGGGAAATTTTATCCTTGGTTGCTTTCTTTTACCATCTAATGGGAATCAAGATGGTAACATTCCAGGGCCTTGTGACTACACACATGTGAGCTTCAGATTGTACGGGATTCCTCTTTTCTTTCAATAGCCTTAGGTACAAAAGTCTCTATAACTTCTAAGAACTGTTGGGAAATCCTTAGGACCTTTGTGGACCTGACCCTAATGGGACACTGGTGTTTGTTAAACAGCTATGGAAAGAAGGAATGAAAAAGAATATGTGTGAAATGGGCATTTATCCACAATATCTACTGGACACAAGGAAGAATAGATGAGTATTTTTGAAGTGCCAAGTATTTGTGTGTAATAACTTCTAATGAATGAATTTCTAATATCTTTTTTCAATGCAATTATAGGGGTGAGAGGGAAACTGCAAGTTATTGTGTTCTATTGTGAGTTCTGGCTGGCAAAAGATGTGCACTAGAAACCGAGACCCTTTAGTATTTTCTTTGATTCTGTCAGTGCTGAGAAGACTTCTCATGCCCATTGCTCTGGTCATTAATTCCACAAATGTTTTCTTTCTTTCTTTTTCTTTTTATTTTTCCTTTTTTTTTTTTTTTTTTTTTTTTTTTTTTTTGACAGGCAGAGTGGACAGTGAGAGAGAGAGAGAGAGAGACCGTGGCTGGCTGGGGCACTGCAGCCGGTGCACTGTGCTGATCCAAAGCCAGGAGCCATGAGATTCTCCTGGTCTCCCATGCGGGTACAGGGCCCAAGCACTTGGGCCATCCTCCACTGCACTCCCGGGCCACAGCAGAGAGCTGGCCTCGAAGAGGGGCAACCGGGACAGAATCCGGTTCCCTGACTGGGACTAGAACCCGGTGTGCCTGCACCACAGGTGGAGGATTAGCCTTGTGAGCCGAGGCGCCGGCCCAAAATGTTTTCAATCCCCTACTACATGCCAGACCCATCCCAAGGACACAGTCTTATGGAAGGGGCCAGGGCAGACTCGGCTTCAGCGTGGCCTCCAGTATGGAAGGGAGGAGAGACGCATACAGAATCATAAAGAATGGCTCATTCGTACTACGACCAGCTCAAACAGCCAAGCACAAGCTGGGGCATAAACTTGGCTCAACACTGCCTGGAGAGCCCTGTGTTTACACAGCACTTCCACCTGCACTCAGGGAGCAGCAGGGAGTGCCTGGGCCACCTGGGGGCATGGCAGGAACTGGGGAGACAGAGGAAGGAGGAACATGGAGGGAGGACCAGCAGGTCAGGAACACCAGAGGAACCAGAGGACTCCTCACCTGCTCTGAATTCAGCCCCTCCTAACACCAACCCTTTCCCACTCACTTCCAGGCAACTAGAAATATCTGGATTAAAACTCCTCATTGATTCCCCTTTGTTTAACAGATCATTCACCAACTGTGTTACATTTTAGTGAGAAAGAAATCCTGATGTTTGTAAACAGGGCCTCTTGTCACTTCCAGCTGTGACTTTGGGGAATGTGCCCACTGATGAGGCAGCACAACACTGCCTTTGGAGGATGTTTCCACAGGCTCCAATGGAGCCAATGGGTGTCCTCTAGCAGGACACCCCCCAGCCCAAGGACCCTGGGGCCGGGGTCACTAGGCACAGAAGGGGGCAAGAGGACCCCAGGGAAGGGCATTGCAGGGGAGCTGAGCAGCACAGTGAGCTGAGGAGTCTGCAGTCTGTGTTATCTGAGGCCTGCAGGCGTCCTGGGCAGTTTCAGGGAGTGTGCAAAACAGTGATCAATCTGCCTGCATGGACTGTGTTTACAGCAGCGGTGGGGGGGACATTTGAGTTTGCCACTGGAGGGCTTTGGAAGCCAACAGCGGGCGCCAGAGTGCCGAGGCTCTTGGCAAACCCTGCCCAGCCTCATCTTTCTCTCCGTGCAGTCCATGTAACACTGGCCCTGATGACCAGGTGCTCATTTCTGTTTGCTGAGTTCCTAAAATCCTACAATCCTACTCCGAGCTCAGCACCCTCATGCAACGTAACTAGGTAGAAAGAAGATTTTGAGTGACTTGACATTCTGTATGTAAATAAATGTTTTCCCTCATAGTATGCATAGATTCACCAAAAGTAATGCAGTGTTGTTGGTACCAGTGACCCCAGAATAGACTATTCGATCACATGAACAGTTTAAACCATTGTTATCTATACTTTTCAATAACCTTTTAACATTCTGCTGCTTGTAGCAGGTGATACAAACAATTTCAAATCAATTGTGTGCATGGTCATTCGTTAATGTTTTTGATATACGGGTTCAGGATGGTATTTCCACCTTAATCTGCAACAGAAATACTTAATTTACAGCAGAATCAGCCCATTATGTCCCATCCTCCTAAATTTAGAATACCTATAAAGACTGAAATTGAGCAATAAACTAGGATAACTTTGAAATAAATGTCAATGAAATATTTGCATGATGGAAAACTTGGGATTTCATGGATAAAATAGGTAGTCACTCTAAGTAGGGTGACTGCATCAATCCTCCATGACTGGCATTCAAGGAGAAGTCAGAGAAACACTTTTGAACCCCCACACCCCCCCCCCCACACACACAGACCTAGCTCCATGATTTACTCCTGGTCACAGCTGCAGCTTTTCAGCAGCCTCCCGAGTGTGACAGAGAAAGGAAGAGGAGCTGTGGCTTCCTTTGAAGGTCATGGTCCTGCCTGATTGTAGATCCAACTGAAGCTATTTGATGCCATCCCTATGATTAAGGAGAAACAATTCCAAGGCTTTGCAGCTTAGCTTTTAAGTGGGAAGCCATTGAGGCTTCTCAGAAATGGGCAGGCACTGTGACTCATGGGTCGGGAACTCATTGGCTCTATGATGCAGCCATGAGGACTGCTCCATCTCCTCCACTTTGCACTGTTAAAAATGGTTGGGCTCCGGGCTGGCGCTGTGGCTTAGCAGTAAAGCTGCCACCAGGGATGCCGGTATCCCATATACGTGCTGGATCCTCTCCTGATCCAGCTCCCTACTAATGACCCAGGAAAGTCATCAGAAGATGGCCCAAGTGCTTGGGGCCCTGCCTCCCACATGGGTGACCCAGATGAGACTCCTGACTCCTAGCTTCAGCCTGGCTTAGCCCTGGCCTTTTCGGACAACTGGGGAGTGAACCAATGGATGGACATTCCCTCTCCTCTTCCCCCTTCCCTTCCCCCTTCCCCTCCCCCTCCTGTTCCCCCTCCCCCCCTCCAACTCTGCCTTTCAAAATAAATTAATTAATCTAAGAAGAAGAATGATGTTCCCATGAGTGTGAGAATTCTCCATTCTAGGCCAAGTGCACACTTGCAGAAATCTGGAGGTTTGGTCTGTGTGTTAGGTGAATACGAGGCTCACAGAACTTAGTGTCTCCAATTAGCCTAATCTCTTGCAAAGGGCTGGCTGTGGCATCAAGTTTTCAGAGTTTAAACACAGAGTGTGGGGGCTGGTGGGTAGGGCCACCGCCTGTGGTGCTGCCATCCCAGTGCGCTACGTGGCCATCATGATCAGTCTGCTCTCCTTGCTGCTGGCCCTGGGCTGCTGGGCCTGTGGCTTCCTGGCCATCGTGGCACCCACTGCCCTCGTCAGCAGCCTGTCCTTTTGCGGTCCCCGTGCCATCAACCACTTCTGCGACATCGCGCCCTGGATCGCCCTGGCCTGCACCAGCACACAAGCCGTGGAGATCGTGGCCTTCGTGATCGCCTGTGTGGTCATCCTGAGTTCATGCCTCATCAACCTGGTCTCCTACGTCTACATCATCAGCACCATCCTCAGGATCCCCTCGGCCAGTGGCCAGAGCAAGGCCTTCTCCACGTGTTCCTCCCACCTCACTGTGGTCCTCCTGTGGTACGGGTCCACCATCTTCCTGCATGTGCGAACCTCCATCAAGGACGCCCTGGACCTGAGCAAGGCCATCCACATCCTGAACATCGTGGTGACCCCCGTTCTCAACCCCTTCATCTACACGCTCCGGAACAAGGAGGTGAGGGAGAGTCTGCTGAGAAAGTGGAAAGGAGGTAAACTCCCCACGGTGTGATGGGGAGGTGTGCTGTGTGCCGGCCCCCAGACTGCAGGGCTCTCCATTCCTGCAGCATGGCAGGTGTTCGATCATGGCTCCAAGTGCACCACAGAGTGACACGGATGCTTCTTTGGTTCCAGCGGGGAGAAAACAAAGGGGAAACACCTGAAAGACAAAATCAGACCTATCAAGGGAAACACTGGGTGCAGGAGCTCTCCTTTCTCATGCAGGAGGGGAACAGGAGTTTTTGATATAAGCAAACTAGCTTGTCCAAGCAAAATAGTCATACATTGACGTGGGTTTTCTTTTGAGTTTTGTTTATAACATTAGGGACACATACTCGGTGTGAAGCATACATTACGAAAACTCCAAGTTCTCGTTCTTTGTAAGATTTTTGTATCACCTTGTAAATCTGGGGTGTAAGAACTAGGACAGGAAAATGCATGAAATCATAATGGAAATGAGAGTACCATTATTCCCATGTGACATTTTCTTAGGTGAGGTATGGTAATACATGCAGATGGCAGGAGAAGCTGATAACTTGCAAGATGCCACATCTGTTTCACCAGGACTGAAAGGGTTTGAGTAAAGCTATAGAAGTCCCGTGATGATCCGTGTTCAAGGTGCTGTCCCTTGAGAATAAAAGTGACAAATTCTGCTTCTCAACCACAGAATTAGAGTTTCAGAGAAAAATAACCTTGGGGTACAATAATTAGAGCATTTTGTTTTTAATTTCCCTCCAAAAGACCCCATCCTTAAGGAGCCAGAAGCAGGCCTTGCCTTCTCAGCCATGCACCCAGGAAGATTTATTTCCCCTCACCCACTTCCCAGGACTGGGGTTAGACGCTGCAGTCAGGGGCTGGCCAACAGAGCCAGGCAGAGGAGTGGGCTGGGGCTGTGTTCTTCCCCCAGGAGGAAGGCGGGGGCTGGGAACAGCTGCCCTCAGACCTCCCTGTTCCCATCATTAGGAACCTTTCCTGGTTTTGGAAGTGAATGGGGCAGGGAAGGCTGTGTGTTGGAAGGACATAGGAGAACATGTTTTAACTGAGACCGAGTCCCCTGGCAAAGATATGCCTCTGTTGAAAGTCTACCTCCTGGGGCTGGTGCGATGGTGCACTAGGCTGACCCTCAACCTGTGGCACCGGCATCCCATATGGGCGCCAGGTTCTAGTCTCTGTTGCTCTTCTTCCAGTCCAGCTCTCTGCTGTGGCCCAGAAAGGCAGAGGAGGATAGCCCAGGTGCTTGGGCCCCTGCACACGCCTGGGAAACCAGGAGGAAGCACCTGGCTCCTGGCTTCCGATTTTTGTAGCTCCGGCCATAGCGGCCATTTGGGGAGTGAACCAATGAAAGGAAGACCTTTCTTTCTCTCTCTCTCACTGTCTGTAATTTTACCTGTCAAATTTAAAAAAAAAAAAAACTTTAAAAAAAAGTCTGCCTCCTAAGAGACCATAGGGGTGAAAAGTGGTGAACTTTTGTCACCTGTCACAAGGGTTGTGGCCAGTATCTTACAAACGTAAGACTATTGCAGTTTTTGTTAAATGTGAGAATTTTGCATGAGGCACAGCAGAGACACACACAGGGCAGTGCTTTTGAAAGCGTGTCCTCCAGGAGTGGGAGAAACGCATCTAACGTCTACCTCTAACAATCGGGAGAGGTGTAGGTGCAGCACTCTCAGGTATACACTGAAGTGCTGATGGATGCGTGAAGACACCCTGGGGACACCTGGGAAACAAGCAAACATCAGAGAGCAGGTGCAGAAGAAAACAGAAGGGATGAGATGGCGTCAGGAAGCAGCTTCCTCCCGCCTTGTGGCGTGTGACAGGACAGCAGTGACCACAGGGTGAGGAAGCCTGCAGAGCACTGCCTCGGCCATGTGACCAAGGTCAACGCCAACAGCCATGACAGGACACATCCTTTATATCACGTGACAAGAAGTCTTCTTCTTTCGTGACTTGTCACTCGAGAACATACAACCCACAGCACATGCAACCCGAGTTGATCCTGCCTAAGTGCAGTTGGCTCCCACACTGCCCTGCGCCCACGGCCTGAGGATCTCCTTGGTGCCTTTTCACACACTGCACACCTCCCACGGTCTCACCTCCACAGGCCAGGATAGCCGAGCATTCCCACCCACTCCCAACGAGAGGAGGTACTGGACTGCTGACCCTGGTTGCACAGGAGTCACCCCTACTCTGCACAGCCATCCATACTATGAGAAACCGAGAGGTGAGATCAACTCCATTACAGGGTAGGAAAAGCAGAAATATCAGGAAAGCAGAAGGCAGGGCCCCCTCTTCTGCCAGCAGTGAGCTCGGCTACTCCCAGTGCTCCCTGCGACACCCGCAGACCACCACGGTGCTCACCCCCAGTCTACTCTGAAGGCGCAGTGTGAAGTGGGCATTGGCTCCCTGCACCCCCCTGAGAAGGGATACAGCAAGGGCAGCACTGATGCACCCAGCGAAGGGGTGAGGTAACCCACAGGCAGCCTCCAGGGACAGACGCATGTGCACCAGCGAGAACGAGTCAGGAGGAGCACGGCGCAGAAGGCAGGCTGGCTGGTCACTGTGTGCAGGGCACCCAGAGGGAGGGGAGGGTCCAGAGCAAGGCAGACAGGGGTAGGTATGGTGGCACAGCAATGCTGGCATCCCGCTTGGGTGTGCTGCAAGACCCAGCTGCTGCACTTCCAATCCAGCTCCCTTTAATGCACCCGGGAAAGCAGTGGGAGATGACCCAAGTGCTTGTAGGAGACCTGGAAGAAGCTCCAGCCTACTGGCTTTGGTTTGGCACAGCACTGGCCATTGTGGCCATTTGGGGAGTAAACCAGCTGATGGAGGATCTCTCTCTCTCTCGCTCTCGCTCTCTTGCTCTCACTCTCGCTCTCTTTCTCTATCTCTCTCATCCCTCTAACTCTGCTTTTCAAATAAATTAGAAAATAATTAAATAGGCTGGCACTGTGGCTCACTAGAGTAATCCTCTGCCTGCGGCGCTGGTACCCTGGGTTCCAGTCCTGGTTGGGGCACCGGTTCTGTCCCAGTTGTTCCTCTTCCAGTCCAGCTCTCTGCTCTGGCCCGGGAAGGCAGTGGAGGATGGCCCAAATGCTTGGGCCCTGCACCCACATGGGAGACCAGGAGGCAGCACCTAACTCCTGGCTTCGGATCGGCACAGCACACCAGCCACGGAGGGCATTTGGAGGGTGAACGTACTGAAGGAAGATCTTTCTCTCACTGTCTAACTCTGCCTGTCAAAAATTTAAAAAAAATAATTAAATAACAAATTAAAAGGAAATGCACACAGCCCCATAGCATAAAGTGCACACATAGCCCCACATGACAGAGAATGATGTGGACAAAATATTAATGCCATGGCTGAGAAACTGCTCTATAACACTAGAGAAAGTTAACAGTAGTTCAATAACCTTCACAGCTGCATTGGCCAATCTGGGTCCATCTTGTTAGCTCACTTACTTCTTTTTCCTACCATTTTCCAAGGGGCTCCTTTTTTTCTTTTAAAGTGTCTTGAGGTTTACTTATTTACTTAGTTGTATTCATTTTATATGGAAGCTGGAGGGGGAGGGGGAGGAAGTAGCCAGCGCTGGGTCAGGCTGGAATCAGAAACTCCCTGGGTCTCCAGGTGGGTGGCACAGGCCCAGGTACTTGAGCCATCACCTGCTGTCTCCCAGGGTGCGATCAGCAGGAAGCTGGCATCTCCCAGGAACAGAGCTGGGACTTGAACCCAGCACCATGATCTGGGATGCAGGCATCCAAGCGATGTTGTAACCGCTGAGCCAAGCTTGCACCCCGGGCTTGTCGTTTTAATTGTGCCTATGTTTTCAGTACTGTAACAGAAAGGCCAACACTATTCCAACTTTAAAATTAAAAAAATAAATAAATAAAACCTTAGGGGCAGGGGTTTGGCTTGGCAGATAAGACACTGTTCGGGAAACCTGTGGCCCACCTCAGAGAGCATGTGTTGGATCCCTAGCTCTGCCTCCTGGTTCAGCTTCCTGCTAACGCAGACTCCGGCAGTCCACAGTGATGACCCCAGAAATGGGACTCGCACATGGGAGACTGGGATTGGGTCCCTGGCTCCCAGCGTCAGGTTATTTCAGGAGTGAAAGATCAGATGGGAGCTTGTTCTCTCTGTCTATGTCTCTCTGCCTATCTAATAAGGAAATATTTTTTAGAAGAAAATCTCCCATCACAATCCAGGAAAATGCCCACCTGACAGAGGCACCAGGGAGGCCAGAGCCACGTTCTGGGATAGCACAGGGCCTGGAGTCGCTCCTCATAATACTCCACTGCCCAGAGGCCATGCTGGGGGGCCTTGGGGATCCTGCCCTCCCGGCCCACACTGCCCAGACACATGCCCAGTGTCCAGGCCTTCCCGTCCCCCACCTCGACCTCCCAGTAGTACTGCCCGGCAAAGAACTGCTCCAGGCCAGCACACAGGGGTCCTGATTAAAGCTGCTGGCGCAGGGGGGCAGGTCCTGGTCGAAGAGCAGCCGCCTCATGCTCTTCTGATCCTCAGACAGGGAGAGCCTGGGGCTGGCTGTGGCGGGGTCCAGCGAGGGACTCACTACAGAAAGAGGCCAGGGACAGGCATCAGGGGTGGGTCTGCCGTCCCTCATGCACAGGAATGTCAGGGTCTGCCCCACCTTGGGACCCCTGTACTCTTCCTGTGTCCCTGCCAGCCATCAGCCCCAAGCAGGTGATAGGGATCTGCTCCTGGGGTGGCAGAGACCTGGCTGAGTGCACAGAGTGTGTGCGTGTGTGTCTGTGAGACAGTGCCAGTGTGTGGGTGTGATGTGTGTGTGTGTGAGAGAGAGCATGCCAGTGTGTACCTGTGTGTGTGACAGTGCCAGTGTGTGTGGCATGTGTGTCTATGTGTGAGGGAGCACACAAACATGTCTGTGTGTGAGAGAGCATGCCAGCATGTGTGTGCATTGTGAGAGTAAACCAATGTGTGTGTCTGTGTGAGAGTATGCCAGCGCCAACTTGTGTATATGTGTGTGTGAGAGAGCACTCTAGCATGTGTGCATGTGTTGTGTGCAAGAGTGCATGCCAGCATGTGTGTACACCTGTGTACTTGCCTCTCCTTGGACATTGCAAGAGCAAAAGGAGCTAGGGTCTTCCTTCCCAGGCCTCTGTGCCCACTTCCCAGCATCTGACACGAAACCTGTGCTCTTTTAGATGGGAACACACACCCATGCACACACTTTACAATGCACACACATTACAATGCACACATGTATGCGTGCATACCACCTCCACGTGCACACACATGACCTCATGCACATGCTCATGCAAGGCCTGGACACTGCTCACACACACCCACACACCTGCACACATGCACTCACGCCTGAGGACAAGCCTCAGGACACCTGTGCTCTCACCCACCCCTGTCCAGCATCCTCTTGAGTAACTCTGGGCTTCTCACTTTGTCAGAAATGAGTGTGGGAGGGAAACCATGCCCACCACCCCAGAGGAAGGGGCTCCTGTCCTCTCCTTGTCCCCTGGGGCACCTGGCTCCAAGGACTCCACCCCCACCGGCCATTTCCAATGGAGGGACTTGTTTCTGCAGTGATGCAGGAGGCTGTGGTGTCTTGGGGTCTGGCTGATGGAAACCCAGCCCAGCCTCGTGTTCTGGAAGCAGCGAAATCGTACGAGAGCTCACTGAGCTCCCCTGGCATCACCTGTCACAGAACACGCCCCGTCCCTGGACTCCAAGGAGCTCACGCCGAGGCTGCAGCCCGCACTGCCAGGCTGGACAGGCTCTGACGGTGCCCCCGGGGCCTCCTGTGCCAGCCACGGTCCTGGTGTGGAGGTGGTGGGCCTGTGAGGGGCCAATGCACAGCTGCTGTGGTGCTGCCCTCAGGAAGGAGGGGTGTTCTCGTGGCACCCGGCTGGCTCCTTTAGGGGCTGCTGTGCCCTCTCCTTCCTGTCTGCCTCTCCTCCCACCATGGCGCCATCCCCACAACACAGCAGAGGCCGATCCAGGGAGCCACCTGGGACAGCTAGAGGAGCCCGTTCCCCAGCCCGGGCAGTCACTATAGCCTCAAGCTCAGATGCCCCTGTGTCCATCAGGGAGGACAACCAGAGGGACCAGGCGGGAAGAACAGTGTGAAGCCTGAGACCGCAGGTTCTTGCCAGGCAGCCAGCCCCTCCACAAGCCCCTGCCCCACCCCAGGACAGCACAAAGCTGGTTCAGAAGGCCCAGGTGAGTGACAGCGTGGTCCTGCCCAGCTCCCCACTCCCGCTCACCCTGGAATGGCTCAATCCTGTCGCGGCCGGCTCCAGGCCCCAGCTCCTGTTCTTCCTGCAGCCTCCCTTTCTCCGGCTGCTCCTCGCTCTCTTCCCGGTTCAGCTTCGGGCAGAGGCAGAGACCCCCGGCTGTGATGAGCCCCAGCACGATGAGGATCAGAAACAGGGGCATCCTCCATGTGGAGGGCGGGGCCATCCTGAGAGGGAGGTCCACGGGGACCCTGGGGATCCAAGCACATCGGGATGAGAGCCCCTGTCCCAGGCCCTGCTGCAGGATCTGAGTCAGGGGCACCAGGTCTCCAGCCTGCTCTGAAACAGTTCAGAAATGGATGCCCATTCACATGCACGATGGGGCCTGGTCTGAGGGAGGGTCTTCCCAAACGTGGTGGGGCCCTCACCCCAGAGTGCTGGTGTCAGGAGCTGGGACCCTCGCCCCAGAGTGCTGGTGTCAGGAGCTGGGACCCTCACCCCACAGTGGGAGTCAGGAGCTGGGACCCTCACCCCAGAGTGCTGGTGACAGGAGCTGGGACCCTCACCCCAGAGTGCTGGTGTCAGGAGCTGGGACCGTCACCCCACAGTGAGAGTCAGGAGCTGGGACCCTCACCCCACAGTGAGCTAGGGCTTTTGTGACGTGATACATCATGAAGTGGAGCTCCCATAATAAATGGGACCCAGGAGAGGACCCTGCCTATGAGCGGGAAGCAGCTGCCCTGTCCTCTGCCCCCCAGCCTCCCCACTCTCTTCTCGGATTTCCCCAGCAGCAGAGCTGGGAGGAGTGAGCTCCAGGGGCCAGAAGCTGCCCTATGGCAGAGCTGAGGGGACCAGGTCATCCGGGGACAGACACTTGTGTACGAGCCGTGATAGAAATGTAGGACCACGCGGTGGACGTGGTGCCTGAGAAGCCAGAGAGGATGGTCTGGGAAAAGTTAAACCTGGACACAGCCAAGAATGCATGGGCAGGTGCAGTGTGTGTGACACCAGGGGTGGACTTAGGGCAAAAGGAAGAGCAGGGAGCCGTGGGCGGACGTGCAGGAAATGCAGGTGCAGTCCGAGGAGGGGGCTGTGGAGGACACCATCCACTGGGCTCTCACTCTGGGAACTGTAGAGACCACGAGCAATCAGAGGGGAGGGGCCGGGGGGGACACGGGGGGCTCTCAGGGCAGCAGCTGTGCTGGTGGACTCAGGCAGACAGATCTGTCCAGACCCATGGGGTCCAACCCTCAGCTGAACTGTGGACTCTGGGGGACGCTGGTGCTGGCAGCTGTGACACTCACACCTCTCCTGCTGTGGGGAGCAACTGTGTGCTGGGACATCTACATGCTTCCTGCTCCAATTTGCTATGAAACCAGAGACATGGAAAGAACCAAACAGGAAGCCGATGTCAGGGCACAACTTTCTCGGTCTCTCTGCCCAGTGGCTGTCTGCACCCCGATCTGTACTCCGCCCTCGCAGTCAACACCCAGGACCCTCCCCTCTCCCACTGCAGGGCCACAGACAGCAGCTCCAGTGTCCCGTCACGCAGGGCCACACACACCTGTGCTTGGAGCCACACAGAACACTCACCGGGCAGGTGGCTCTCAGCTACCTTCCTCTCATGGAGCAGGGGGCTGGAGATGGAGCAGGTGAGACCCCCCATGCTCCTGTCTGGGACGGCCACCCTGGACAGCACAGCCAAGAGGCCAGTGGTGGCTGAGGCTGAGAAACGGGTCACAGCCGGCACCGCATGCCCCCTGAAGTCTCTCCACTCCACGTGAGGCTCTGGGTACCAGCCTGCTGAGGTGCACTCGGCTCGGATGCCCTTGTCCAGGTCCTCGGTCACATGGATTCTGGGCTCCAAGCCCAGCCCTGGGGGAGACACAGAGGCTCAGTCCAGGGCTGCTGCCAATGCCAGACGTGTTATGAGGGTTCCAGAGGTGCCTGCATAGTCTCACCAATCACTACATACCACAGAGCAGAAAAGAGTCTTGGAGAGTCAGCGGGAGTTTCCAGTGTTGCAAGTCGGGAAGGGTGGGGAACAGGAAGGAGCCCAGGCAGGGCTGACTGCAGAGCAGAATGCCCCCTCCACGTCCCCAGCTCCTCTGCCCGCCCTGGCCTGTCCCTGTCTCCCTTCCTGTCTCCCCTTCCCCTCTGCACTCTGTCTCCCCTCCCTCTCCCCAGCTGGTCCTCTCCTTCCCTGGCTCCCTGCCTTCTGCCTTTCCCAGTAATGGCGGGAAGGCAGGCTGCACCTCCTGGGACACAGCGTGGGCAGGTGGGGATGTGAGGACGTGGGGATGCTCCCACACTGCACACTGTGGATGGTAGCCCAAGCCTGGAGCTGGGACCGGGAACTGGGGAGAGGTGCTCCCAGGGAGGCGGAGGCTGAGGCAGCCCTCACCTGCCACCTGCAGCGCCAGGGTGGTCTCGCTGTGAGGCTCCCCATCCCTGAAGAGGCAGGGGTAGGTCCCGTTGTCATACACAGTGATGTTGTGAATCCCCAGCACAGCTTTGCCCCTGGCCAGGTGGTTGCCCAGGAAAGTCGTCCTCCCCCGGGACTCTGCCATCTGCTCTCTGGACACCTGTGCTCTGCGCCTGTGCAGGTACATGGTAGGCAAGGGCCGGCTCCTGTACCACCTCAGCTCCATGTCCTCCACGCAGGAACCCAAGCACTTGAGTCATCATCTGCTGCTCTCTCAGGCCATTAGCAGAGAGCTGGATCCAAACTGGAGCAACCAGGACTTAAACCAGTGCCCCAGTGAGTGATGCTTGTGTCTCAAGCAGCAGTTTAACCCCCTGCACCCCACTGCTAGCCCCTTTTGTGAACTTTCTGAAGACCCATCATCTGTGTTATTTCAAAATCGTAGGCTGCGCGGGGCAGATGACTCCATGAGAGGGTGACAGACATGCTCCTCCTGTGCCCCATGGAGTCGCGTGGATGCTGGCTGCTGAGCTGAGCTTCTGGGTGGTAAATGAAAGTCTTCCATGAGAAATCAAAGTCCCTGTTCCGCCCCAGTCATAGGTAAAGGCTCAGAATCAGTCCTCACCCAAGAGCAGGAATCAGACATCAAGAATCAATCTACAGCCATCTGTCTACACCTGTATCCACCTATCCCCATCTGTCATCTGTCCATCCATCAATTTCTACCTGCATAGCCTATCTATCAATCATCTATCTACCCACCTATCTCTATCATCTATCCATCTCTCTGTGCACAATCTAGCTATATTATCATTTATCACCTAGCTCTATCATCTCTCTATCATCTCTCTACCTATCTCTATCATCTATCAATCAATCTCTCCCTGCATCTGCCTATTTCTATCATCTATCTATATCTATGTCTATCTCCATCTGTCATCTATCAGTCTCTCCCTGCATCTGCCTGTCTCTCTCAGTCATCTATTTATATCTACCTATCTCTGTCATCTATCTTTTTTACAAGATTTATTTATTTGAAAGTCAGAGTTACAAAGAGAGAAGGAGAGGCAGAGAGAGAGGGAGAGAGAGAGAGAGAGAGAGAGAGAGAGAGAGAGAGAGAGAGAGAGAGACTTTCATCCTCTGGTTCTCTTCAATTGGCAGCAACAGCATGAGTCACACGTATCCGAAGCCAGGAGCCAGGGGTTTCTTCCAGGTCTCCCAGGTGGGTGCAGGGGCCCAAGGAATTGGACCATCTTCCACTGCTTTCCGAGGCCATAGTAGAGAGCTGGATTGGAAGTAGAGCAGCCGGGGCTCTAACTGGCGCCCATATGCTGGCACTGAAGACAGCTGCTTTACCCGCTGTACCACAGCGCTGGCCCCTCTATCATCTATCAATCAACCTCCACCTACATCTGCCTGTCTCTATCATCTACCATCGATCTACTCATTTATCTATCTACAATGTGGCTATATTATCATCTATCTAATCATCTATCTAATCTATCTATCTAATCATCTGTCATCTAGATATCTTATCATCTATCAGTCCATCATCTACATCATCTATCTGTCACCTGTATGTCTACAATAGCAGCCTAGGGTCCCAAACATGAGCCCACAGAACTTCTAGTGAGAACACACATGATACCCAGTGTAGTTCAACAGAGCCGCAAAACAAGAACTGCCAAAGATTCACCCAAAAAATATGAGGAAAGGGGCCAGTGCTGTAGTATAGCAGGTAAAGCTGATGCCTGCAGTGCCAGGATCCCATTTGGACACTGGTTCAAGTCCCGGCTGCTCTACTTCCCCTCCAGCTCTATGCTACGGCCTGGGAAGGCAAGAGAAGATGGCCCAAGTCCTTGGGCCCCTGCACCCATGTGGAAGACCCAGAAGAAGCTCCTGGCTCCTGGTGAGATTGGAGCAGCTCCAGCAATTGCGGCCATTTGGAGTGAACCAGCAGATGGAAGACCTCTCTGTCTCTACCTCTGCCTCTCTGTAACTCTGCCTTCAAATAAATACATAAATCTTAAAAAAAAAAAAAAAGATTGGTGGAAAGAATTGTGGAAAGACCCCTGATGGATACAGGTTTCTGATGGCTCTGACACACTGCCGTTGGCAGGGTCAGGGTCTGGAGAACAGCAGGTGCTCCATGGCAAGCAGGCCAGACTTTGCAGCATGGGGCTGGGAGAGAAACCATGTGGTGCTCAGGAGCCTGCTGAAGCTGACACTCGTGTTTGAAGGCTTGGGGGTGTCTGAGACGTGGGAAGGCAGCTCTGTCCTTACAGCAGGGTAGAGTGCAAACACTAGTTCCAGCTCAGAGATTTTGACTGGGGGGCAGCATCTGAGCAAGGGAACAACCAGGACCAGACCCGACTCAGGATGGAGGGCCACCCTTGTGGAGTGGAGAAGACCCTGGCCCATGCTGGGGCTTCCACAAGTCACTCAAACTCCAGCTGATGCCATGACCTTGCCACGAGTTCCACCATTCAATCTCAGCATTCTAAATAAAAGCTCACACAGGAGCTGGTGCTGTGCTTTAGCAGGTGAAGCCACCAACTGCTGTGCCAGCATCCCATAGGGGTGCCGGTGTGTGGCTCAGCTGTGCCACTTCTGATTCAGCTCCCTGCTAATGAGCCTGGGAAAGCAGCAGAAGATGGCCTAAGAACTTAGGGCTTGTCTAATACACTGCCCTTGGCTTTCCTCACTGACCTTAGCTTGGATTTTAGGGGCCTTCCTAAGAAGCAGGCTGCTTTCTTTGGGAAATGATAGGAAAAGGAGGTTTAGACTCCAACTGAGTGCCCTTCAACCTGGGATCCTGACCCCATCCAGGTCTCCCAGGCACTGAGGGATGGGGCTGTGTTTGCAGAATTGTGCACAGTCAAGGGGATGGCATCGGGGCAGGAGAGGAACAGTCAGCAGCCCAGAGGGCCTTGGGAGCTCTTCCTGCTGGAAGGGTCCATGTACTGGACCTGGAGGAAGTGACCTCATTTCCCTGGTGACGGGCCACAACAGAACATGGAACTCTGGTAACCAGGCACCCACATTCTAGTGGTAGCCATTGCCAGCTCACTTGATAGGAAACGTTGCAGGGAGAACTATGTTCCCTTGCTGCTTCTCATCAAGGCGAGGCTCTCGCCGAGCCAAAGCCCAGAATGAAGGTCTCTTCCAGTGTGTAACACGCTGGCTGAGCTCTCACTATGGATGCCTGTGGCCATGGGGGAGGAGGCAGCCACAGGTAACAGGGTTTAGCAGCCCTGGAAGTCCCATACAGGCCCGGAGTCTCTGGTGACCCCAAATGGGCTGTCCTCCTGTCCCCACGAAGGGGACAAGAGGAGGGGCCCTTCCTGCACAGCACCAGGATTCAGGTGTTGGAGGACGGCTGTGGTGTCGTCCGTATCCATTCCAGGGATGGCGGATGGGAAAGTGGGTGTTGGGGCCATTTTGTCCACTCAGGAGTTACATCTGAGTTCTCATGTGTCACCTGGAGTCCTCCTAGCTGGGGGTATACCCAGATGTCCCTACATATGTGACCTGGAGAGTGGAAATACTCACGGGGTGTCTCCTGTGGGACACTGACGCCTTCTGGCCTGGCTCCGGGCACTCTGTTTGCAGGGCTCCACGCTGGAGATCAGCAATGATTCCCATGAGGAACTCATCTTCTCAAGCAATGGACAGGTGTGTCAGGCCAACAGCCATGGACAGTGCTGGGCTGGGCTGAGGGAGGGGCCTAGGGAGATACACAGGCGGGGACTCAAGATGAGCAGGCTGGGCCGAGAACCAGAGCCTGGATATAGGCACCTCTGGGCCCCGTCAGTGGTGTTTCCCACCCGAGTGACTGACCCCAGTCTCGTTCCTAAGAGATCTCGCCCCTCTGCTGCCCACTGACAGCTGGGTTATGGCAACCCCATGTCGGGTCCTGGTGGGATTTTCAGGGGACAGGTTACTACTGGTTCCCTGGATACAAAGTCAAGAGCGTCCGCTTGTGGGACAGCACTGTTTTCCCACCCAGCCTGGGAATCCCGGGCAGGGGTCAGCTCCGCTGTGCTTCCAGACCTCCCCACAACCCACGATGGAGAACCCAAACCCCACACACGGGTGAGGCTTACACGAGAGAGAGAGAGAGAGAGAGAGAGAGAGAGAGAGAGACTACTCCATGCACGTGTCAGCAGTGTGTCTCTTGGTCTCAGCCCTGGAGCCCACACACGTCTCCATCCTGTTCCATGGGAAAGGACATTTGATCTGCAGCTCAGCTGGGATTCCAGTGCTCATCCCCGGCTGCCCTGCTGCAGGTCACGACCTCAGAGAGCGCCCCTGGAAGCCTGGTCTGCTGGGCAGTCACAGCCCAGGGCCCACACGAGGGCGGCTCTCACACAGGAGTTTGCACACAGTGCTGGGGGCTGGATGTCCCTGTGTCTCCTGCTTGTACATGTCCATCTCTGTTCCCATGTTCTTGTGTTCTCCCGTGCTTCTCTGTGTCCTTGTCCCCTCTCCTTATCAGCATGGCAGAGCTGGGGCCCACACCATGGCCTGGCCTAACGTCCATCACCTCCTCAGGAGCACATGGCACATGCAACCACACTCAGGGACGCAGAGTCAGAGCGTCACCGTCGCTCTCACAGGAGCTAATGCCCTGCTGAGACAGAGGCCCAGACAGCACTTGCTGGGGAGAGGGGCTGAGGTGTCCCCCTGGAGCAGCCATGGTCAGATCACCATGCAGAAGGGCTGTGGCCGGGACACCGCCAGCTTCCATCTCTGCACTGCTGCTCCCAGCTGCTGGCCTCCCTGTGGGGATACTCTGCCCTCCCCACTCTCCCACGCTGCTCTCTATGTGGCCAACAAAGTCACTCTGGGCCTTTCATTCCCCACCCCCCAGGGATGTGAGGGGTCACTTGGTGCAGCTGGTTGCCCTCTGTGAGGGGATTTTCTCCCACCCCAGACTCCCATGGTTGGGGGTTCCTGGAGCTGCCTCTGACTCCTGTCCCTGCTGGTCCCCCCTAGTTTGGAGGTGTGTCCACACTGCACCTGGCAGAGGTCTGCCCCCTGTGGAGCCTGCAGGCAGGCACCGGGGTGAAGCTGGAGGAGTCCCTGGTCCCGGCCTCCCCAGGAAGAACCATTGCTTACCTGTCCACTCTGCTGTGCTCATATGGTGACTTCAGCACTGTTCCGTATTTCCTGGACCAGATATTCCATAGGTGAGCTTCTGTGCTCTCCAGGCACATGAGGACTCTCCGCAAAGGAAAG